GTGATGGAATGCAACTATATAATAAGTGCTTGGTTCTTGTTTTTGAGTTTAGTAATGAGTATGATTGAAATTTTAGCAAAAATATATTGTAAGATCGATGGAGATGCGATCAATGATAAATGGAGATCCATGAATTCATAAAAATCTTCAAGGTACAAGCTAATGTTGATAGAGAAAAGGATTGTGTTATACGATGGAAATTACAATTCGGATTTTTCATTGTAAGTCTACATTCGTGGTGATGTATTTTGTCAAGGTATGAATTGGCAAGGTGAGAAATGATCAATTGTATCCGGTATTGAGCATTTGAAAGGACTTACACCTGGGTTGAGTCGTAAGTTTACTATTATTGATTCTTAAGTAGTTAAGAAAGGTTTCATTTTTAAAAGTGTTGGTTTATAATAAGGTAGATGGTCGGAGTGTTTATGATGGTTGTTAGTATTGTGAGTATGATTCACTAGCTATGCTCTAGTGTGTTTTTACTTTTGTGGGTTGATCCCTAGTGGTGGATCAGGGGTACTAAATCCTGCGATGTTCTCTTGGTTGAGTGGGAAGATTAGGAAGATTTGATTATTTCGAATGACATAATTGGTGTTGTCTTGGAGTTGTTAAAGTATTTTAGTGGTTCGACATGTACCATTTGCTTATGAGAATTCATAGAAGAGCTACCATGTGTGATCATGGTTGTCCGACAATCTTAATATTCGTTTAGTCGTTGAGGTCATGTATTGATTATGTGTGGATGAATGTAGGAATCATTGGGTCCAATTCTACAATTCTTAAGGGTAATCTACAATCATAATTGCTAAATCTAGCATTTGATAGTATGGTTAGTGGGCTGTCTGCTTGGACATATTCCTCGATAAGTATCTGATGTCTAAAGATCAAATTTTGTAACTTAAGCTCATGGAAATTTATGTTGTGTGAAGGAGATGTTGATAAGAACTACGATTGGTTGAGTATTATGAGTGTGTGTTGGTTGGTTCAGGTCCACCTAGAAAGGATTAGTCCTGATGATTGTGTCAAGGCCCTTGATAACATGTGGCAGACGTGAGTACGATCAACTCTAGTGGTTATTAAGAATAACGTTTGTTGTAGTTAAGTTTACATACAACAATAATTATCACTCGAGTATTGTGATGACTTCATTGAGGCATTGTATGAGAGGATGTGTAGATCACTGATAGGGTGATTTGGGGATGAAGATGTAAAACCTTTGGGAGTTGATTTGGTGAAAAATGCTCAGGACAAGGTGAGAAGTATCCAAGCTAAGCTTCTAGCAGCCCATAGTCGACAGAAAAAGTATGCGAGACAAGTATCCCCAATGATTCAACGATTCAGATACTACTCTACTCTTACTTTAGCCAGTCTTTCCTAGTTGATCACTCGGGAACGAGTGATGGGTAAATTGGTATCTATTGTAACGACATGATTCCGTCGTTAGGAAAAAGCCAATGGGGAAAGAATTGGACCAGAAATTTTTTTGAGTAGTAACTTGAAATTTCCTAGCCTAGTCCAGATTAGGAGGAAATCGGAGTCAGGAAAGTCTAGGGAAATCTGGTAATGAATGAGATGTGTAATAATAAAATTGATTGCGTGAGTGGATAGCTAAGACGTTAAGGAACCCGTACGACTTTACAAAATTGAATTCGGGCGAGTAGAACTCCCGAAATTGATCTTAGCGTGAACATGTATTTTCTGAGTGTCGTGGGATGAATGTGTGTTGTGAAATGGGGGTTTGGAGCTCTTAATTCGACATTCTATTTTTGTGCAAGCCGCTGTGGTGGGATTATTCCCGCCAGGGCGAGGCCGCTGAGGCGGGGTGAGTGCTGCCACAGCGAGGCAAACACGACTTAAAGTCGAAAATATACCCCAAAAAATGTTTTATTCTGCAATTTTCAAACTTGAGAGTTAAGGAACAAACCATGGGTTTTCTTGACAGTTTTTCACCATTCTTGAGACTAAAAGTAAGATTTTAACTCCCAAAATTTGTTTTTCAATCCATAGAACATAATCTAATGGGTAATTATCGATGGGGAAGGGTCTCGATATGGAAATTCTGGTGAAGAAAGCCCTAATTTGGGTATGGGGATCATGGGTATGATCTAGGGTTGATAGAATTATTAGTAATTCGGGTAATTAGTTATTGTTTATTGATTCTCATGTTAAATTAATTGTTTGTAGACTAAGAACAAGTGGAACGAATCTGGAAAGAAAAGATTCAAGTGCCTTAAGGGATTCAAGCTTGGATTCGAGGTAGGTGATGATTGTGATTTCATGTTGGTGTGATATATGTTTGTACTTGCTTCATTATAATGCATGTATGTATGTGAATGTTGCATTATTGATCACCCTAATCGTAAATGAGGATAATTGAATAATTATATGCCATGAATCACCTCTTGTTGTATGATTGTGAGAATATACATTGTGATTGTGGTTTGTTGAATAGATCGGGTGTTACGTTTCGACACACTAACTTGGATCAGTTACCACGTTCCGGCATAAATATGGGATTGGTTGCCACGTTCCGGCATATACATTGGATTGGTTGCCACGTCCCGGCATAAATATGGGATCGGTGATACGTTCCCACATAAACATTGGATCGGATACCATGAACCGGTACACTAACGCTTTGGGTTTGGGTTCTATGAGAGGACGATTGAATTGGATTTCATGAGAGGACCATTGAATTGTGTTGTGTATCTACTTGTGATGATTACGTTCATATCTAATGGTGATTGAGGTTGAAAGACTGTTTGTTGCTCTACAATGATAACCAATGTGTATTATTGAGAATGTGGAATGCTACATTGATCCTGAAAAGATGACTAAATATTGTATATGTTTGGTATATGCCTATTTATAATGTTGTGGTTACTTGCATGTGTTTCACTTATTGGGATAGCCGCGTGGTCCTATCAGTACACTGTGGTTGTGTACTGATACTGCACTTGCTTGTTCTTTGTTGATTGCAGGACATCTTCAGGCGGTTATTGATAGACCTCAGCTAGGTGACTATTGAGCGTGACCGGATTCAAGGGTGAACCAGTTCTTTCAGGCTGCCATGGATCTGTCTTATTTAAGTCCACTCTCTTCGTACTCAGACTATTTGTTAAAGGTGTTTGTTTAGTTTCGGGATTGTACCCCTTGTTCTTAGACTTATCGTTCGTAGAGTTTTGGTACAATGACTTTCAGGTTTTAGGGGTTGAATTTTCGCATTAGTTGGTTTGTTAATTGTTTAAACCTTTGGAGTTTATGGGGACTCTATTTTTATTGTCATTTAAATCTGCTTCTTTATCTTTAAATGTCTTAGTTTTTAGTTAAGTTGTTAGTTGGGTTGTAGTAATGGTTCTCCCACCGGAGGGTTAGTGTGGGTGTCAATCACGACGATCTGGGTCGTGACACTAACCCATTTTGACCAAAGTCGTTTTGACCAAAGCAAATTTGGATTAAATATATTGGGTCTTGACCCAATTATTATCTTAACCCACAATGACTCGGCCAAATTTAACCCAACTCATCTAATTGCCACCTCTAGTCAGAAGTACTCTAACTAGTGGCCTTTCACAATTGTTTACGAAATAACAACTATTTGTGCAAAAGATTTAAAACAAGAAAATAAAATATGAGGGGAGATAATTTACCTTTACGAAAACGCTCATAAATATGCTAATAAAATATTAATATTAATGTATAAATTTGGTCCAAAAAATATATCAATAAGATTATTCGATCAAAATTTGATGTTAAAGCCGAATGACGACAATTTTTAAAAAAAATATCCTTTACATAAGTAGTGGAAAGGAGGTGGAAAAGATTTTTTGGGACAATTATATCTTTAATCATGCTAATGCATGTAATAAAAATATTTGCATTGCTAGTATCATGAGTTTTCATGTATTAGTTATACCTAGCATAAGACTACCATAAAGTATTGAACCAATATTAAAAAAAGGGAAAGGTCCCGATAAACCTCTTGTCATTTAGAGCTGATATACCCCTAATTATGAAAGTGACTCATATATGCCCCTACTATTATACAAATGACTCAAATATACCCTTTTTCTCTAACGGAAGTGAAAAAATTAATTATTTTTTAAAAAACTATTTTAAAAAATATATATATATAAAATCCCATGTGGGTATAATTAATCATCCTCACACATAATTTTTTAAACTTTTTTTTTGGTTTCAACGACTAATTTAAAGTTATTATTTTGATGGTCAAATTTATATATGTTTCACTAATTTTGTTGTAAAATCTATTATAGGTTATCCAAAAAAAAATTCAAATATAAAAACTAAATGAAATATAGTCGAAAAAAATATTTTAAAATTATAATATAGCCACAAAAAAATTAGTTTTAAAATGTTCTCTTTACACTAAGGAACGAAAGAAAAAAATAAAATAAGAATAAGAAACTCAAATAATGATAATCAAAGACCTCAAAAAATAATTTATGTATAAAAAAGATTAAAATATACGTTGAACTTTGCTAGAAGGATCATATATACCCCTACATAGTTTTTTTTAAAAAATTAAAAGTAAAAAATATAAATTTAAAACTATTTTTTTTCACTTCCATTAAACTAAGAGTATATATGAGCTCATTTTATAACGATAGAGATATACGTGAGTCATTTGTATAACGGTAAAAATATATATGAACCACTTTTTCTAATGCCATTTTACCCGATCCGGTTTATCGAAAAAGTCTACTCGCATAGTAATGAACGGATGAAAACCCTCCAACAGAATCAGCGGGAAATGAATTAATCAGATACTATACAGATACGACTGCTTACTTCATTTAAGACCATCCCCGTTTCACATGCTGACAACCAGCCTATAATTCACTACGTTCCCAACTACTCACCTTTATTATTCATTCACCCCATTTATTCCTATTTATAACTCTTTATGCTTGCTCCATAAATATATCACACAACAAAAACATCTACATTTTATTACTACAACACAACACAAACCCTAAAAAAGAAATGGCAAGTGCATATAATTTAGTAGTTTTACTAATCGTTTGTAGTGGAATAGTATTAGCTAATGGTGATGATAAGAGTCTGGGTGACAAGTGTGGTGTGGAGTTTCAAAAGGTGGCTGCATGTTTGACATACGCGACGGGGAAGGCCCCGTCGCCATCGAAGGAGTGTTGTGATGCGGCGGAGGATATAAAAGATCATGACCCGGTTTGTTTGTGTTACATAATAGAACAGATCCATAAAGGATCAAGTCCTCAGTTGAAGAGTATGGGAATTCAAGAAGAAAAATTGCTTCAGCTTCCTTCTGCTTGCAAGCTCACGAACGCTAGTATTTCTAACTGTCCTAGTAAGTTTTTTTTTAAAATTGTAATATATACTATAAAAAAATATATATTTAGCTGCATTTTATACTCTAATAGTGTATAGAGAAAATTTTGTTATGTGACATACTTAATTTTCATGTGAGACGTGTAGTTCATGACATGCCATATATAGTCAATATTTGACTTATAAGCTATGTACACTCTCTGATCCTTTTTAGACATGACTGGTTTACTTGACACAATTCTTTAAAAATTATTTTATATCTATATTATTTTATCAATAGAAATAGAAGTATTGGAGATATTTTTAAATTCGGCTTTGATTATTAGTTTATTTTCAAATTATTGATACACTTAAAAATATATTTTTATTTGATTAACTGGACATAAATATACCCTCGATTTTACTATATGAGTGAAATACATCCCTATATTCTTGTCAAGTTTAGAGGTGTTTTTAACATGTTTCTTGATTTTTTTATTAAGAATCTCATGCTCGTATAAGAGTTTGAGATCACTTGTTATATCATGTTGCATATCGTGGTGTATGTAAATTTAGTTAGTCAAGTAGAGATGTGTTTTCTTTCTATTTATTTATTATTTACTAAATAAATTGATAATTTATTATTCTCTTTGTTTTAAAAAGAATGATGTTTGTTTAAAAAAATGACCTCTTTCCTTTTTTAGCAATACTTTAATTTCAATTTTCCACGTGATATATTTAAAATCCCAATATTAAAAGACATTTAAGTACATTTGACATAACTTTAATTTACGACTAGACTAAAAAATCTTCTTTTTAAAAAAAATTCAATATCAAGCGAATTAATTAAATCATTCCTTTTAAAATACAAAGAGAGAATTTTGAATTTATTTTATTTTCACTTTTATATTATAATTATTACCAATTCATTTTTCAACATATAATAATTCAGGATTTTATTGTAACATTTTTATTATTATTATTTCTTAAAAGGTGTGCCAAGTTAAACAAATACGCAAAATGGAGCATTTGTAAGGAGTTTATTTTATTAAATTATATTTAGTAATTATACTTTTGAAATCTAAATTAAATTATTAATATTTTATATAATTATTTAATAATAACAAAATACTAGAGAATAATTTTTTCTTAATTTATCAAAATAGATAAAAAAAAAAAAAAAAAGTTACATGCACTACATACATAAAACTTAGAAGTTACTCCTCCGTCCGTGATACTTTTATGAGAGTTAAATTAACTAATAGTAGATACAAAATTGAATAAAAATAAATTCAATATTTTAAAATTTAAATATTTAAATTTTTTATAAAAAGTATTATTATTATATGAATATATTTTTAAAAAACTTATCAAAATATTGATCAAAATTTATATAATTTATATAATAAGTAGTTGGGACAGAGAGTAACATCTGTCAATTGCATTCATACTATAATCAACTTGTTCGTTTTGAACAGTGATCGAATTTAAGAAACAGCTGGACCACTTTGGATTGGGAGAAATACACTATTTAGGCTATTTTATAAAAAAAAAATCAGTTTTTTTTATTTTATCAAAGATCTATATTTTTATATCTAAATTGAAAAATAATTCTTTAATTTATTTTAAATGACCATAAATTCTTACTTCCTCTTCTTCTTTTTAAAAAATTCTTTCGTTTATTTAAGGTTGCTTTGGTTGTGATGACAGTGACACAGATATTTAGGCACCCGAAAATGACTTTTATCTACCTATCTAGTCAAATTTAGCCTCTTTATTAATTATGGACTATCTCATAATGTATTCAATAGTACAAGTCCTAATTATACATTGATGAAAATTGATGATATAAATAGTCTTTTATTAAAATCATAAATTATAAATATTTATTTTTTATATATCAAAGTATAAAATATATTCAAAGATATTTATTGATTATCTTCTTAAAATATGAGATTTAATATTTTTTTTAAAATATATTCTTTATTTTATTATAATGAATAAATATAACTTGATGAGGTAAAATTTGCGTATATTGAATAATTTTGACTCTAAAGTTTGTAATTAAAATGAAAGGAAGGTAGATGACTAGATGGGGTGTCTTCTACATGTCCCGGAGTTTTGAAAATTTGTGTCAATTTGGGCTACCTACTCTATTTGCTTCATTTTACTTATTGAGCTTATTAAACATAATTGGTCTAAAATAGTACAAGTCCTATTTTATCTACCTATCTAGTCAAATTTAGCCTCTTTATTAATTATGGACTATCTCATAATGTATTCAATAGCACAAGTCCTAATTATACATTGATGAAAATTGATGATATAAATAGTCTTTTATTAAAATCATAATTTATAAATATTTATTTTTTATATATCAAAGTATAAAATATATTCAAAGATATTTATTGATTATCTTCTTAAAATATGAGATTTAATATATTTTTAAAAATATATTCTTTATTTTATTATAATGAATAAATATAACTTGATGAGGTAAAATTTGCGTATATTGAATAATTTTGACTCTAAAGTTTGTAATTAAAATGAAAGGAAGGTAGATGGCTAGATGGGGTGTCTTCTACATGTCCCGGAGTTTTGACAATTTCTGTCAATTTGGGCTATCTACTCTATTTGCTTCATTTTACTTATTGAGCTTATTAAACATAATTGGTCTAAAATAACTTTTATTTTCACAAGGATCTTTTTTTTCATTTTTGGTCCATCAACCAAAATTAATTATGGATGCTAACAAAAAATATACACACTATAATGACTAATTATGTATATAATAAATATCTTATGGTATATTTATATTTATATTTAATATACAAAAGATACACATTTGCTCGATATATTTTTTAGGGTGGCCCAAAAAGATAATTATTCCTCACTTTTACACTTTCTCTAATAAAAATGGAGAGAGATTAATGTGGTAAACATTAAACAAAGCGTATTATATTGAAATTAAAGAATAAATAAGAGTCATTTAGTCAAACTAGTATTTAAGGCGTTATATTTTGTTGAGGGACTACATCACAAGTAAAATGGACCACACGAGTAATTTATAGAGTTTTTCTTTTATCAGAAAAAGAATATGTTATTTAGAAGTGTAAAGAAAATACTAGTCTCTATTTCTCAATTTTATGTGAATAATTTCATTTTTAGTTAATTTAAAAAAAAATGACACTTCTATATTTAGAGGGTGACAATTTAACTTTAGGGGTAAATTGTACATATGGTTGATCACCTAACTATCACTTGTGTTTACAAAAATCATTTAACTATCTTTTCTAACACAAAAAGTCATTAAACTTCTAGATACTAACTTAAAAGTCATAAAACAAAAAAAATGCTAATTTTTCTATGTTTCAAAGATCTTTCTTTTATACTTAAACGCAAAAGCGGATCTAAAATTTAATTTCTAGGGTTTCAACTTTTAAGTATTTTAACATTGATCGATTATGAGTTATAAGTTCTTACCTACTATTTGTTATAATTTTAGTAGATGATCTTTATGCATAACATTATGTTTCACATTGGAAATAATACTAGATTTAGATGAACACAATATTGTCACTATGCATCGGCCTTTGCATAAATATCGTGTTCAGTTAAACGCCTTCACATGAATTTCTTTTTTTGGTGAACGCAGAGTTACTCAACATTCCTCCAACTTCTCCCGATTATGCGATCTTCACCAATGCGACCAGCAAATCGCCTGTATCCACCACACCTTCATCATCATCATCATCATCACCGGATACTAACAAAGACGTCTCGAACGGATTCAAGAACGGACCCCAACTTTCAGTCACCGGAACAGTTGTGGCTGCTGCACTTGTTGCAATCTTTTTAGCTGTAATTCCTAGGGAGCTACTAGTATTTTGATTGTCAAACGTACTTTTGCCTTTAATTTCCTTAAAGTTTTTGGTTGTAGCTCGTCTTGTCTTGTTTTAATGAATTGATGTACGTTACGTATGGATTTAGTTTGCTGGTACGCACGAGACTAAGGAGCAGTTTGACCATGTGAATTATTCAACTTTATGTTTTTTGCTTTATTTCAAAATCAATGTTTAGTTATAAATTCTCTAACTCCATTTTCATAAATTTCTTATAATTATCTTCGCTATTTTTCCTTCTTATATTCTCGATATAATAAAATTTAAAGAAAGTAAAAATATAAAAATAATATATATATATATATATATGAATTATCAAATGGAAAAAATAATTGAATGAATGATATAGAAAGAATTAGATAAATAAAAGTCATGACTAAGATAAATTGATGTGAAAAATTAGATGAGATAAGAACTTTTGTTTAAAAAAAAAAGGGATAAGGGTCTGAAAAATATCTCAACTTTGGTCGAATTTGCTGTTGCGATACTAAACTTTCATGAGGACCTATTACCTCCCAAGACTATTTAATACCGTATTTTAAACATATATATTTGCCCACGTGGACATAAAAATAATGCAAAATTATAAATAATAATGTGTCCACGTGGACACATATATACCTTTAAAATACACTATGAAATAGTTCAGGGGGTAAAAAATACGGTATTAAATAGTCTAGGGAGGTAATTGGTCCTCATGAAAGTTTATTATCGCAACAACAAATTCGACCAAAGTTAAGGTATTTTTCAGACCCTAATCCAAAAAAAAAACTGAGTGAAAAGGAAAGAAATGGGAAAGAGGAGGGCAGTGGAGAAGAGGGGTAGGACCATACACTTTTTTATTTATATAATAATTCCTCACATACCAAGTAAAACTTATGTTTCTTTCACCATAAAAAATTGGTAAATTAGACAAAATAATTATTATGTTGTATTTCTTATATAAAATATTACCATAAATGACCATTCATCACTTTTTCCTTGCAAAATTTGGCCTGCTTCATTCTTCTTCGTCTTGCTGCAGCTGCTGCTTTTTTTAAAATGAATTTTGACGTAGGGTAAACGTGAATCATTTCAAGTAAATTATATATTAAAAGACACAAAATATCAAGAGGATTTCATATCTATAATTTAGAACTGTTTAGAGGTGATTATGAGTTGACTGAGATTGAATAGACAATGTATACTTCATGTATAATTAAGCTATATTGAGTTACTGAATGTGGATGATTGTAGTAAAGGAAATCCTGGAAGTGCTGGAGGTGGAGGAGTTCTTAGGAACCTTGCTGGACCAATGATTATATCTTTCAGTGCCTATTTTGGTTTTTGCTCAAATAATTCAGTCAAGGCTCTAGCTCTAAAGACTGGTCGAAGATGGTGTATAGATCATGATTTTCAGAGTTACTGTTGAGTCAGACTCCATCTTGATTATTCAGATGGTTAAAGGTATGATCAACCCCCTTTGGCAGATCAAATATGATATTAAATAGATTCGATCCATGAGTTCACTTGGTCATTTCTCTTTTATTCACACATTCAGAGAAGGTAACACTACAATGGATTTGCTTGTGAATATGACTAAACATTGCAAAACAACTACCTTCTTGTACCGAGGCCATAAATCTTCCTTCTAAGATTACATCCACCTTGAAGAATGATGTAGTTGGCTAGCCCAATATTAGATTCGAGTGAAGAAGGGCAACTTCATATTCGACCCTGCTTAAATTTTGTTTGATTGCTTCTAGTTTTATGAATTCTAGATTTTTTTGTAAGCTTATGTAATGATGAACAATCCTTAGCAAAAAAGCTATATTGAGTTTTTTTTAGTGTATCATAATGTATAGTCCGTGTATAGTTCATGTATAGTGTATAGTCATGATATACTTTCGTTTACTTTTGATAAGCTATAGTGTATAATCAATATATACTTTTATGACTTTTAGCTAAATAAAATGACTATATTTATTTTATATATTTGGAACTATCCTAAAGAAACTATTGAGCTTACTTAAGTTAAGATAAGAAAAAATAATACCACACTTTTCTAATCAGTCCCTAAAGAAATCTCAATAAATATTCCCATCTGTGAATTAGATCATCCACCCATAAAGAAGTTTGGCAAGAAAATGTAACATCTCAATGATGTATAATCATATTCAAAGCAAATGAAAACTAGTAGAAATTGTCTCTCTTTCCAACAGAAGTAAACAGATAATTGTACATGCACAAATTTTTATAACTTCTTCCCTAACCTTGAGTAAATATTTATTTTTTTTCCACCCACCACATCACCCCGTCATAGGATCAGTAGTGTTTCCACTTATCATGTATAGTTACTCGGACCCTCAACTTACCAGATGATAGCAGAATCGCTTAACCACTTGAGCAAGTCTGACTTGTCAACCTTGAGTAAATTAATTTGCTGAAGAAGCTGCGGCTTCAAAGGACTGTTTCCTTACAAGAAGGCAAGTGATTTTAGAGGGCTGAGCATGTGTATTATCAACTGTACACAACACGAAATCGGGTCGATGTAATGCTAAAGCCAATCTTTCCTTTCCTGCATCCAAACAAGAAGCATCTAACAGAACATGCCATGAATTTCTATGAGCTTCTGAGATCCAATGCATTGAATAGCGCGTTTCTTCTACATAAGCAGGATAAGCAAATAGCCCTTTTGGACTATGCTTTGATTTCCTCCGAAAATATTGACTTAGTTGTGATCCTTTGATCCTCAAATCAAGCCATGTTTCTGGTGCTGCAATCACTTTTGAATCTTTAAAAGTAACGAATTCGCGTATACAATCATACTCTTCACCAAGAATTGTCATGTAGTAATTTCCCCTGAAGAAAGGGTAACATTCTCCAATCATCATCATGGCTTCTTTCAATGTAAGTGCAAAAACAACTAAATACTCCTCTTCACTTAGTCCACATTGTTGCAATGCTCGATTACGGACTTGTATTTCTGGGATTGAAATGAAATTTCCTTGGTACGAAGTTTTCTTTGTTAGGATATCTAGCAATCTTGATGGCTCCAATTGGATTTTTCCCAACTCTGAATTACTACTACCAAAAGAAGGCGATGAGGACTCTCTCCTCGGGGATTTTCCCTTTTCATTAGACGACGAATCATCGTTCATACAAAGTGCATAAAGATCGATTTTATCCCCTTCTTCCACAAGTCCATTGCAATATTCAGGGTACTTAGCCAAAACATATTGTTGAACATATTGCATTTCACTTGGTGTAATTGGACCTGACCATCTTAAATCAAGCCCATGGAGTGTTGATATTGCTTCTGCCACCAAATGTGCTGGAATTACAGTATTTGCTTTCTGTTCATTTATCAACAACTCCTTTTAAACATGAGGTGTATTTGGTACGACAAAAAAACGTCTTCCAGAATATAATTTATATCACGTTTGATTATCAGGAAAAATGACTTCGCTCAACTCATTTTCCTTCACAATTATCTCAATTCTCAACTTGACATCACTACTTTAACCAACAAAAACATTGGTATCAATATTTCATACTCGAAGATTACAAAAACCATCAAGTTAACCAATTTTACTATAAATCTTTAATATATACAATATTTTTTCAAAAAATATTTTACACTCTTCAAATAAAATGTTTTACATAAAACAAGTCATTCCAACCACATCCAAAATATAAAACAAGAAAGAAGACTAGTATTTTCATCAACCATATATAGGAACAAAATTATGATTAAAATTAGCATATGGATAGAGAGAAATTGAACTTGCCTTAATCACCATGCTGTTTGGTCTGCTATTAATTGGTGATTTTGGTACAGGAGGTAACAAGGAATATTCTACAACTTCACCATCCTAATCATGAAGTTAAAACCTTGATTAGTACAAAACCTTCATAATTAATCAGAAGTTATAGAAGAGGTCATACCTTGTTATCTTTGTTTAGGCTTAATTGTTCTTGGGCGTCTTTTCCCATGTTGTGATGTTTTTGCACTTTGATTTAAATTAAACCAAAAAAGCAGGAACTGAAATAGGGAAATTTTTGAGAAAAATAATGGTGCACAAGAAGCTAATTAATTTGCACAGACAAATAATTAAAGTTAAATCTGTTAATAATTAAAGAGGGAACACCAAAACGCCGACAGTAATATAAGTAGGTAAGGCATTTTTCTTCAGAATAAACAAGTAATTCTTCAAGTTTTTGACTGGAGAACAGATTAATTTTTATTTTTTTAGAATTTATTGTACTTATTAAATATGTATTAACATACATTTTTTCATTATAAATTAAATTGTTTTTAAATAAAAAATGTATCACTCTATTCTTTTTTGAATACATAAAAAATGGAGTGTCATATAAAATGAGTAGATAGTACTGCTATTTTCGATCCAATTGATCTTTTCTACTCTTCTGATCTATGTGAAAGGAGTATTTTGACCGTGCATTATGCCACGTAGGATGTGTGTGTCTTATTGTTCAATTTTATATAATTTTAAATGTCTACATGTGCACATTCAAAGTTGGAGAACATATATGCCAACTGAAATCAAGTTAAATGATCGTATTATACCTTTTTTTTTTATCAAATTAAAGAATGCTCAGAAGACCAATTTAGTAAGATGTTGAAATGACCTTTCAGAAGGTATTTAATTTACATAGTACTCCATAATATGAAGATTCTTATGATTTTAATGTATTTAAACCTATTAATAAAGAAAATTATACTATGTAATTAGTCTGTTAAATGTTCAGATAGTGTAACTATTCTCTTACATCGATAACGTAGAAAATAAATTTCAGATGATTTTTAGTTTTCATAAAGTTTATGAATTAATTAGCGAGGGACATAGTTAGTAATAAAGCTTCAACAAATCAACTACAATATATTGTATTGTTAATTAGTTGGCATTTAGTCATTAAATAAATTGAAAAACTGTCATTGAGCTTGATGTTATTGGTTTCTTAATATAATTTCATTCAAGCACACATAAATCAATCACAAGTTGACTAAAAGCAATACGGAGAGTGCAACAACTCACTAAATTAATTTGTTAATGCTAATTAACAAAAATATGGAGGAATCAATTGAAAAAATTTAGCATATACTTATTGTTAGAGATAGCGACCCTTAAAGCATTTAAGAACGTTGCCTAGGTATCAAGATTGTTTGGTCCTACTATGTGAGATCATCTT